GAACTGATGGAGTGGAGTGGTGTAGATTATTGTGATGTTTTTATCAGCTGTTTGGACTCTCATTCTGATGGCACCCATTCACTGCAGAGGATCCATTGCTAAGCAAGTGAAGTAATGCTACATTTCTACAAATCTGTTCTAAAAAATAAACCAACTCATCAACATCTTGGATGGCCTGATGATAAGTAAATATTTAGACATTTTAGTTTCTGGGTGAACTAATCCTTTAAGGTGTAGTCGGTTCCAGTGTTCAGTTTAACACTTGCTATAATCTTCCTGAAACACATTCCTCTAGTCTGATTTTAATGAACAGAGGAACGCAATAACAGAAGCGAATCTCATTTGAAAGCTTTATGTGCAAATCCAAAACCCTCCCTACAGGATATCTTCTCAATGGCATTTTGTGGCATTTTAAATTTTTCCAGTCGTTCACAGAGAGATTTACAAACGAGTGTCATTATATTTCAAAGCCGGAGCGCCGAGAGGAGCCTGATAAAGACGAGGCTTTTAAATCCTGCTGGGCGACTTCTTTCCTCTGGAGACGTGAGGCGCGGAGCTCCGTCTGCCTCGCTTTCCTCCAGTCAGTCGCGTTCTGCCGCTCCGACCCTTCGGCTGTTCGCTGCGCTGTCGAGTGTGTTCAGCGTGATCAGGCTTTGTTCTGCTTTTATCAACAACTGAAGGCCTCAGCGTCTTGTTCTTTCTTGTTTTATGGTTTGCTTTGGTGCGCTTACATCTACATGCAGGAGCTCACAGTAACTGCAGTGAGTCTTCAACAAATCTACACTGTAAAAAATGACCGTGAATTTAACGGTAAAAGACTGTAAAAATGCTACAGTAAAAACCTGTTAAATGGTTAACGGTAAATTCCCCTACTATATACAGTGAAAAACTGTATTGGACATGATATGTATTGGACATTAATTTTACGGTAGTATACCATTTTTGGAAGTGAAAAAGATTGTATCATTTACAGTGAATAACCGTAAATTGACATTCCCAGAAATAACTATGTTTCTTCTTAGTTTTTTCTTATCAGTTTTGTATATTAGGGTTGTGTGTTACACCTAATGTTGTTAAATTAATTTTCATGTGTGTTACCATGATGGTGTTTAGCGTTTGTGTGAATGACACTGTGCACCTTCTATATATGTTATTATTTAAAAGCTGCTTGTGATGGGCTTTGGTTAATCATGTGACTTTCACCACCTGCATTTGTGGTTATCAGTGTATTACAAAGGTACAAAACAGATTTCAGTACTTCAATAGGTTGGTATATTAACATTATATCAGTTAATGAAATTACGGTATTTAACTGTAAATTTAAGTTAAAACCGTAAAACCTAAAACGTTGCTACCCTATTTTTTACGGTAAAATTCCGGCAACCACAGCTGCCGGTTTTTTACCGTAAATTTTACGGAATTTTTTTTACAGTGTAGAGTCTGAAACCATGGTATTACCATAGTATCATTTCCAAAACACTGTGGTATTACCCTGGTACAAAGTCTAGAAAACCTATTGTACTCTTTGTTGGTTCTAATATCAAGATTTATTATAGTAACAGTAACTAGCAGAAACCATGATAAACTTTTGGATCTCTTGGTTTCCCTTCATTCTGGTTGGGCATATACATGTTATGTTAAACATTACTGTAAGACATGAATAAATGTATATAATAAATAACATAAATTAGGCATCGATATAATTATATATTTTAATATATTTTATTCTGTTTATAACAAAAAATAAATAAAAGGAAGTATTAAATATTAAATATATCACTTTATCACTGTCTAATGTATGCTGATTGTATGCTGAATATATGCTGAATAATTAATAATAATGGTTAAATAGAAAAATAATAAAAATATTTCACTGTTATTGCCTAATTTATGCAAGCAAATGTAATCAAAAATAATAACAATAAAAATTAGATTTTTTTCTAAAATAGAAAACACACATTAAAGTATATCACTGCCTAATATATGCTAATATTAGTAAATTATAATGTAAAATTATAATTTCTTCTTATTTAGTATAATTTAGGCACTGATATAGTGACATCTCTTGTTCTATTTTTATTATTATTATTATTCAGTGTCATACTGACCATTTTGGGGGAATTTGTGCAAATTAAAAAAAAAAAAATATATATATATTATAAAATTATTTAATAAGATATATCACTGCCTTATGCTCCTTTTAGTAAATGATAAATAATTTATTATAACAACAACAATAATATTAATATTGGTTATTTATTAAAATAAGCAGTGATGTAATGGCATATTTGAATATATTTTTACATATTATTATTATTATTTATTGTCATACTAATAGTTATGGAGGACATCGTCTTTAATCAGGAAAAACTGTTGCCATGTCAGAAAAAAAAAATCCTCAATGCTCATAAATGTAAGCTGCTTTTTCTTTATGCAAAATATGATTTCTTACTTTTTGGTGGGACATGATGATAATATGACCTGGACATGTTCATATTTACATATTTTTGACATGTTTATGACATTCACCCATCAACTCATTACAATAAATCCACCGTCACAGAGCAGCTGTGACTCACATATTTCATTACTCACTCATGTGGTCCAGCAAAACAGACCTCGCTAGAACACAACATGAAGGGAACAATTAGGATTTAACAAATGGCATGTGTTATCTGCAGCTGAGATTAATAACAGTGTGTGGAATAATTAAACAGTAAATGAAGATAGTCTGCCAGCCTCACAGCAACTCGCTCTAATAACTGATGCAGCATCACTGATAAGTGATAATGGCCTGAATCATCACTCTTACACATGTACGATGTCTGGTGTGTGAAACTACTGCTGTCAGCAGCTGCATTACTGATGTCTTCTGCAGAATTACAGGCAGCAGAGCAGAATCTTTATCATCTGAAAGTGAAGCAGACGGTTATTTATCATGTTGACTAGTGTGTGTTTTTTAAATAAATGTGTTAGTGTTATGTGTTTTTCTTAGAAATGATATCCATCTTTTAATAGATTTTTCTTTTTTACTTGTGTGGCAAAGTTGTGAAGCACTGTTAACCTGTTTTATGCTGATGGTTTATTGTGTACTCTATATATTGCATTGCTTACTTCAAAATGACCCCTTTTCGCTCCTCGTTTCTCCTCATTCTCGTTGTTTTCCAGCTGTCCATTCATGCTTATATCATTTCTGCCTCGGCTTCTGAATTATTGACTAGTCTGGCGTCTCTGGAGATGAGGGAGCGTGGATTGCTTGAGTCAGTGTTGGGTTGTATTGAGCCGCTGAAGAGAATGCAAACCCGTCCTCCATATCAATCACTTCAGTGGTTTGTTGTCAGTAATATTGTTTTCAGTAATATTTCTCAGTCTTTTATTTCCCATTGTTTTTAAGTTCTTGATAGTCATATTATTATTTTTTTTTTTTACTGTTTTTGAGATGTGTTTGTACATGTTTCTGTCAATAGAAATATGACTTTTTAGGCGAAGAAGTAAATAAGGGCGACCGGGGCTAGTTGTCACAAGGGTTATTTGTCAGTAACTATGGTTCAATTACACAGTTGCTAACTGGACAATCAGCTGAGGTCCATTTACAGTAGGTCCGTACGTCAAATACCTAGAACAAAACTGTCTCAAGTTTTATACTGTTTATTACTTACAATTTATTTGGACCAAAGTAGATTTTAGTTTTTTTACTGTGGACTTTTCTGTGAATAATTATGTATTTATTTTTATTTATATTTAAACTGTAAATGTTTAAATTGGCATTTAACGACAGGTTTCAGTTGTGACAACTTACCCCAAAATGTGTCATAATATTCTCTGCTATGTGTATTTAAAGAACTTCAGCTTTTAAGAACAATAAGGGTGGAAATTGTTTTATGTAGCCAAGCCATTAAGGTATGTGTTTGTACAGAAATTGACTTTAAGAAATTGACTGAAGTATGCAAGGGTAACTAACCAGGGTTATCATTAACTAAAACTGAAACCACAAAAAAAAATAAAATCATTGATTGAATGAATGAATTAATTAATAAATATATAAGAAAAAACACTTATTTCAGGCTAGTTGCCAAGGCAGCATTTTTCAATTTAATTTAGTTTAACTTTAAATTCTAAAGTAACTAAAACCAAATAAACTAAAATAAAAACTATATAGACAGACACACACACACACAACTTATACTATACTAACACATACTAAAACAAGCAAAAATTCAAATAAAAACAGAAAATATAAAAATACAATTTTATTCTAAATATTAACAAAAACTATAATAGTATATAAATTATACAAAAATAACACTGCAACTAACTCCAACCCACCCTTTTTTATTATGAATATAGTGACTGTAAAGATTTCCAGTTCTTTTATGAATGACATTCCAAGTCAAAACATTTTGAGTCATTTGTTTTGGTATTTCAAACTTTATTCAGTTTAATTGCACCTCAAATAGTGTGTCAAATACAGCCTTAATCCTTAATTGAGGCGAATCTTTTCCATCAACCATCTACAGAATATATTGTAACTTGGACGATTAATAAAAGTGTCCCAATGTTAATATTAAAAAAGGAATAATTGACAATGGACCATTGAATAATTAAAAAGGATTTCATTCACCTAGGGGTGACAGTGTGGCCAAAATGTAAAGTAGTGCATTAATTTTTCAATAATTCAACAGTCTAGAGTCAATTATTTGGCTTAGGCTATATACCATGTGTCTATATACATCTTTTCATGTTTTTGCCCTATAACCTAAAATGCTCTGGTAGAACAGTTTCTTTTATTTACTTTTTACATATCTTGCTTAAAACAGCCCAACTTATGATTACTGGCTCTGAAAAATTGATCTCAAACAATCAAAATCAAGAATTCAACAATTTGTGAATTAAAAATATGCGCAACTTAATACAAATCAAAAATCCTCAGTGGTCACATGACCAATGAGCGTAATGGTTTAAGTAGGCAGCCGTTCATGACCCAAAAGTGAAGATTCAGCTGCAGAAATACCCCATCTGATTATTGCGTCTCATGGCGATTGCATTTTCAGCATTGAAGGTGAGCAAATTTGAATAGAGTTCTTGTTCGGTTGCGAACAGCGTCACACTGCACTGCGCCGGCTTACTGTTGTGCCTTTTAGAGCGGGTTTCTTTGCCCTGCCTACGTTTAAGAAGCTTATTTCATAAGAAGATGAAAAAAAATTGATTCCATCGAACTTCAGATTTGTGCTTGAAAACCACAGAATCTGAGGCAATGAGAGATGTGGTTTCATTATCTTGACTTTTTCTTGTCTTTTATTTCGTTTGAAAGCGGCAGCCATCAGCCCAGTGCTGTGAACAATGTGAAACGCCTCAAGGTTGCAGTGCGACGCAGCGGTAGATTGACTTCCAGAGGAGTCGCGCGCGGCTCCCGCTGTGAATAGCCATTTAAACTACAGCTGCGTCTATTGTGAAATTACCTGTTGCTTAGGAACCGCTATGATTGGATGGATCGGCTCTTGCTTAGCCAAGGTCTCCTTGTTGTTCTTTGTACAAAGAAACCTTGGTTTAGCGTAATTAGTGGTGCTTGCTTTGTTCAAACCCCTATTAAGTATTAAGCTTCAGCGTGTATCCCACCCCACACCGTTTGTCCTGAAAGTGGGTGTGGGTTACTTTTTTAAACATTTGCATTTGCTATTTTAATTTGATGAGCAATAAAGTAGGTGAAAAAACTGCTGAAGAAGGAACTTAAAGGGTTAGTTCACCCAAAAATGAAAATTACCCCATGGTTTACTCACCCTAAAGTCATCCTAGGTGTATATGACTTTCTTCATTCAGACAAATCCAATCAGAGTTATATTAAAAAATGTCCTGGCTCTTCCAACCTTTATAATGGCAGTGAATGGGGGCCGAGATTTTTAAGGTCGAAAAAGTGCATCCATCCATCATAAAAAGTGCTCCACATGGCCCCGGGGGATTAATAAAGGCCTTCTAAAGTGATTAATTGCGTTTGTGTAAAAAAAATCCATATTAATCTCTTGTTTCCGCTAACTGTCGTTTTGTTTACAGCAAAGGAAAACCAGTCTCCTCTTGGCTTATATCGAAATCCTCCGACATTTTTCTTTACAAATCCTGGATTTGTACTTCTAATTCGTGACTGCCATTTTGTTTTGCTCTCTCCACTGCGCATCCACATTCGTCACTTGCCACTGGAGCTTACGGTACGCTTACGTCATCCGCTGGAACGCCATTCTCTCGTAAACACGCATACGACAGTTAGCGGAAACTAGAGATTACTGCTTATAAAGTTTTAAATATGGATATTTTTCTTACACAAACACATCACTTCACTTCAGAAGGCCTTTATTAACCTCCCGGAGCTGTGTGGAGCACTTTTTATGATGGATGGATGCACTTTATTGGACTTCAAAATCTCAACACCCATTCACTGCCATTATAAAGCATGGAAGAGCCAGGACATTTTTTAATATAACTCCGATTGTATTCATCTGAAATAAGTAAGTAATATTCACCTAGGATAACTTGAGGGTGAGTAAATCATGGGGTAATTTTCATTTTTGGGTGAACAATCCCTTTAAGACATATTTAGAGACCAAATATCATAGAGACCTAGCACAACACCCTCTTGATGATCTTTCAAAGACAGTCAAGCCTTCACATCTTGCTTGTTAATTTTTTAAAACTGTGTTTTGAACTAGGGTCTCCATTGACTGCCCAGGGGTGGAGACATTTGGGCCATCAGTCCACCCTCTTTGAGTGACGGAGGCATCCCGTAAGTAACAACATCCCATAATTACACCACACGAGTCGTACCTGTTACTCCTTTGTTTTCCACACTGATGACAAGTGTCACACAGAATAAGCAATCTTTATTTTTCATAATTATGTGTTTTGATGAGATAAAATACAGGCCACCTCAAAACGTGTTTGTGGTAAGTTAAGGCATCATTTGTCTGTCTACAGGTCAGCATCAGTGTATGGTTTTCGTGTTTCTCCTAATGAGTTTTGCTCTGTTGGAAATGCCATCTGCCTAACCGTATAAAGAATAATTAACAAGCTGCTCATGAATAATTAGGCTCTTTGCATTGAAATCTATTAGATTTCTGAACACAGTTGTTTCATGTAACATGTAAAGGACTAAAAACTAAAATTGGAACTAGTGAAAAAGAACCATGGTGCTACTGTCTTTTGTTTTGGACATGGTACAATGAAAAATGCCATAGTTTTTTTTTTTTTTTTTTTATATTATACCGTGGTAATACCATGTGTGTGTGTGTTTTTTTTGTTTTTTTTAGAAATAGTGTCATGAAATGAATACTGTACTTATTTGGACATTGTATCATGGTAATACTTTCTTCTTTAATATGATACCATGATAATAACAAACATTTATTTATTTTATTTTATTTTATTTTATTATTATTTTTTTTTATAATGGTACAATGATAATACTATTTTGTAGTTTGCAGTATTGCCATATTAATTTGAACAATGTATCATTGTAATACCATGTTTGTTTATTTATTTGGGGGAAAAAATCCATGATCATTCTTTTTTTTATTTTTTTGAAGACAAGACTGTAAAAAAAAGAAACTATTAATTTGAACATTGTATCATGGTAATGCTGTTTTTTTATATAATACCATGGTAATACCATATATTTTGAATGCTGCCATGAAAAATAACTACAATTGTCATGATAATACCATATTCATTTGGGGTTTTTTCTGCAACAATACCACAGTTATTATTGTTTTACTTATTTTAATATTTTAGTTTAGTTTCTTATTTTTTGTTTTGTTTTAGTTTAGTTTACTTTTGTTTTGACATGAAACCATTCATTACAACATGGTAATACTATGTTGTTAATATAATACCATGGTAATACCATGTTTTGTTTATGGTGCCATGAAAAACAACTATTTGGACAATTGTCATGACAATACCACATTCATTTGGATATTGTAATCTTGTAATCATGTTTTTTTCTGCAACAATACCATGATTTTTATTTGTTGTTTTGTTTTGTTTTGACATAAAACTATTCATTACAACATAGTAATGGTAATAGCTATATTTTTGGTAATATGGTTTTGGTAATTTTGGTAATATGATACCATGGTAATACCATATTTTCAGATGGTACTATGAAAATACCTTTTTCCCCATTATAATAAGTATTATTATAATACCATATTCAGTTGGGCATTGTATTATGGTGATACCTATATTACCATAATAATAATAATAATAATAATGCATTACATTTTTACACATGTTATGACAATGCCAATATTATGGAACATTATAATAGAATTAAAGTCTATTAAAATCTACTGGATATACCATGGTAAGTGCCACATTTTTGTAAGGGGAAGGTAAAGCTGCTGGAATCTGCTTGTTGACCTTTGAAGTAACCTGGATGAACTTCCTCACACCTGATTGGCTGATGAGCCCTCACACTCCCCGCCCCTTTGTGAATTATGTTTAGTTTAGTAATACAGATTGCATATTATCTGAGGAAAGCCTCATCTCTTACACCAAACACACAAACTCGTGCTGATCCATCTGAACCTCTGAAACACCATCGTGTTGTCCAGCGCATGAATGATTTGCTGAACTGCCAGTTGGTGGTCATTTAGGTGTAATTGTTTTTGCTTTTTGAAGCATGTTGGCTGAGGTTGTGGTGAGATGAGCATGACCTCCAGCTCTCAACACACCTGCACTGATCTGTGTAATGGTGCTTTTAGCGTCTGGTGCGAGTGAAGCTTCATGCCACGTTGGGCAACATCTGCACGGCAGGCTGGACACATGAATTCTTGAAAGAGATGCTGCACCGTCTGCATGTGTGTGAGCAAAGACACATGAATGATTCACAGCCAACTAGATGAGACCATCTGACATGAACAGTTTCATGAGGTCTCCTGATCTGTGCTCTAATTGTTGCTTTTGCAGGCAAATTGTCTGCTTTAATGACAAAAAAACAGATCTTGAGATGGTCTCAAAAACCATCATGGTATTTGGATTCATTCTGTAAATATGAATATGCATCGGACTCAGTGTGCAAGTTTTCTGTGTGTGATGATTTTTTAGGATGACGAATAAAAAAAATGCATACGAAAATTTCGGACTCAGTGTGCAAGGACCTTAATTCTTGAACAATTCTTTAAAAAAATTCTTTCAAAATTCTTAAATAATTAAATTAAATACTCCAAACTTGAATGTTATTGTATACTTTAGTAAGAAGTAAAAATGTGATCACAATTTTAAGAAATTGTAGTTAGTATTGCTATTAAATATGGTATTGCTGTTTTGAATATGAGTATTTTATTTTCCTCTTCTTTATGCACCAAGAGCTTGTAACACTCCAAAGAGAAAGGAAAAATTTTAATCGCATCATATGACCCTTTTAAAAATGGAAGGAAAAACAAAACCCATAAATATCATAAATCCATTTTTTTTGTGCCAATTTTAGATCAAGGTGTAATGTATCTCCTTTTACCTATTTTTTATGAACTATCTTACAGCACAGCTCTTTAAAAAACTATCATCCTGTGATCATGTTATTTCATAAAGGATCTTAGGAGCTTTTCCAAACACTAGAGCACAGGATATCCACATTTTACAATTTTCTAATAGTTTTAAACAAAATTACATGCCATTACATGCAAAAATGTTCTTTGAGTGCTGCGTTAAATGCCTCGAGTGCTGTCAGTTTGCAATGAGAGGTTGAATTGTAAATCCATCTCGCTGTTGTTCTCCATTTGAGTAGCTGGAGGCTTTTCCCAGAGAGAGAGAGCGACACTGTGCTAATGTTTCTCTACCTTTTGATCTGATGCCCAAATAATGAGACGCTTATGAATAATAAATCCAGATCGTTCCGTCTGACCTTGCGGGGGAAATCGGTGGGCTGCGATCGGAGAGGTGGGAAGGGTTATCTATGGAAATTTACTTGGGGATTCACTTCATCACTAATTATAAAACTGATAATAAGGACGACTGACTTGATTGAAAAGATGCCAATCAATAGTCGATTGGATCAATGCTCTAATTACACCAGCTGGATGACTCCACTTGCCTTTTATCAGTGGAAAACTGACACGCAGAGGGTCGAAAACAGGAGCAAAGATGGCCGTCATCAGAGAGGGCAACTTCAGAGGAAGAGCTTCACTTCAAATAGATTGGAAGGGGGCTTTTTCAAGGCACTTTGCCATGAATTTTTCATCTGCATCTGGCTTTGAGGCAGATGGGGGAAGGGGAAGGCCAGTTGCGGGGCAAATCGAAAGCTTCTACACAAACCTGGGCTCTCGGAGCCAAAAGACAGAGAAAACGAGGGGGAGGGAGCTGACGGAAGGAAAGAAAACAAGACTTATTTACAGAAGAGGAACAAAGAGCGGTTTATACTCCAGCCTTGTTTGGATGCTCCCGGTCTCTTTAAGTAAACCGGGGCAGAGCAGGAGCTTTTATCTCTGGGACAGTGACAGCAAACCGAGAGGAAGATCCTGCTATTCTTGTCCTGTAGAGAGAAAGAAAGTGACTGCCAGATGCCCTCTGTGAGATGCTGTAAAAAGATAACAGTTCTGGCATCATTTCCTTACCCTCATGTTGTCAAACCTGTATGACTTTCTATGACTTTGATAATCTTCCTTTAGTTTAAATATTTACAATGCCATGTTAAGTATTTGCACAAGAAGAACCAAATTAAGAAACCTACATAATGTATTTATTTATAGATTGTTAATTTATTATTTGTGTAATTATATGTATTTAATTTCTGTATCATATTAGTTGCTAAATGTAATAAGACAAATAAATAAAGGAATAAATGACTTGTTAAAACAAATACAATTCCTTTTTTAATCCTAAATTAACTTTTGTATTACTTTTTTCCCTTTATGAATTATTTTCTGTATTTATTTTTAAGTTTATTTTCATTTTTAATTATTTATTTATTTACATAAATAAAGTTCACAACACATAAACTAATCTTTGTAGATTATACTACAGAATAATATGTGCAACATATTTTATAAATTATTTGTTGTGAGAGAAACAGCACTAAAGAAACCTGATGTATATATAACTAAGAAAACTCTGCGTGCTTAATTATTTTATTAATTAACTTATTCATTCATTCTTTTTTATTTTGGTTATCAATTTTATTTGTTTTTAGTGTAATGTTTTTTATGTATTTATACATTAAATTTACATTCTTATGTACTTATACATTTATTTATTTTGATGTAATTTATATATTTTTATACATTTATGTATTTATTTTGATATTTATATATTGTATAAAATTACATGTATCTGTATCATATTAGTTTGCTTAAGCTTTTCATCAACCTTGGCAGATTTAGCTATGAGACTCATATAAATTAATCTTATTAATTGAAACCTTAAGTATAATATCTTTATTGCAAGAGAAACAGCACTAAATTAACCTTCATTGATGAATAAAACCGAAGGAAACATTTATTTACATCCCATTCTTATTGTAGTTATTTATTTGAATTTGTATTAATTTTTTATATTTATTGATTATTTCCTGTTCACTATAAAAAAAATGTTTCTGTGTTAAGTTTTAATGATGGTTATTTGAAAAATGCAAAAAATGCGGAGGAGCTGCAGACAGTAGAAGCGAGATTCTCTGAACTATGACACTGATATGCGATTATAAGACGTTACTCAGCCGACTGAGTCAGAGACTGTCTCATACCGTCTCTATTTTCATGATGCATCACTGAATTGACACTAGGGAGGACAGAATAGGATATGACCAGAACTGACCTTTTTACGTCTGACGGATTTTGCCCTTCTAAATAATCTCTTGCTCATAGTTCTCATTAATACAACCAAATATCTGATGAAATGCTAGAATTCACCTCCAAAAAAAGCATTTTAGCATGATAAAGAAGCAAAAACCCTGCGTTCGACCTCAAATGCTGCAGACAAAGGCACTGAATGTAATTCTGAGCTGGAGTCGATAATCATAAGTAATTTATGACCAATGAGAATTCAGCGTCGCATTAGTTTTCTTGAACCTTGCATCAACCTCGTCTCATTTAGCTATATTAAGTACAAAACTCATTTAAACTATCCATTGTCAATAACCTGGGTCACAGCCTGCAAGAGTTCAGTTTTGCTCTACTTTCATTCATACTTGCATTATAGCCGCGATCCAGATATAATGGTGCTCTCTCCTGTTTCTCATGTTAAATTTGGGCTAAATCTAAAAAGATGAGTGGTCTCAGAGTCTGAGATCCCACAGTAGGCCTTCTTCTGACTGGCTGCACTTTTAATGAGAGATTTCCCAGTCCCGCCGAATCCTCCGGGCGATGCTTTCGCTCTGACGCTAATGTGCCCTGACTGCTGCGGGCTTGTTAATACAACCAGCATTACCAGAAGGAGCAGAGGAAGAATAAGAAATTAAACACTTATTAAAAAGCGGCGCTTGATGTGAGGCTGCTTTTATTGCTGGTGATTTATATTGCTCCCATATGAACTATGGCTAAAGTAGTTTTTACGAGACCTGACTTCGTATTTATTGTTGAAAGCTAAACAACAGATGTGCAACACCACATTTCGGAAACGTATTTGTTTTCTGGTTCACAAAGTTGCTCAGTAACTTTTGCTTTTCTTTCTGAGATGCACAGTAATTGCTGCAGTTTCTCATTTTTGATTTGACTCAACCTCCTGAGAGACTTTTAATGAGTAGTTATCCAGAATCTTCCTAGCCTAGCGAACTGGAGCATGAAAATTGCTGTTTAATGAGTGCTTTTGACTGTTTATTGACTTGTTTTAAAATCATTACGCATGATGCATAAAACCACAATGTCCTATTGAAGTCATTTTGTGGCACAGAGTCCCTAAAGTGAATGTTTTTAGTGCATTAAAATGTCTGTTTTGGTGTCATAGCCATGCTTTAGCAGTTAGCACACATGCTAGTTTGAAACCAAAAAGTGACTTTTCCAGCCCTCTCACTGTTATCTCTTCATTTGTGTATCAATAAAAGTTACAAAAATACATAACTACATTTTTACATGGTTTCTAAGAAAATGTGTTAGTTTTTGCCTGAAATAAACTGCTCTTGTGTGTGTTTGCTAAGTATTGGTAGCTGGTATTCTTTTTGGGTGAACTGTCACTTTAAATATGAGAAATAGTAATAGCAATGCAAGTTCTACTAAAATGTCTCTTTGAAAAGAAAACTTTTTATTGGCACTGTTGTTTTTCTTGTTATTTCAGACTTTAAAAATGCAAATCTAAAGAGTGGGCTCTAAGAGGCAGATTATTCAGACCTGTGAACCTGCTCAACTGAAATGCAAAGTCCTCTTTGGTGTATGCGTGGGTGATTCAAATGGTATCTGCACAGCGTATAGTGGATTAGCTAGAGTCACTTAATGGCACCGGGATAACCTGTGCTAAAGCCTTTAAATTCTGAAGCAGAATATGAGACACTTCATACCTACGTTTTAAATGAAGGTATACATGATTAGAAGATGAAAAAGACCATTTCAACAGTTGCTATCACTCTGCAAGTTGCACTTTTTGTACACTGAAACATAACATTGTTGAGAAGACAATCCCAGAATGCATTGGGTTTGAAAAAAACTTCCAAGATGGTTGGATGAGTTGAGAGAAATGCTGATTATAGATATAAATATAAGCTGCAAGCAGCAATTAAGGGGCCAAGCACATCAGAGGTAAAATGAAGAGCTAAGGTGCTGTCTTTAATTTCTCAGAAAAGACCAGGGTTCTTCCTGGAGAGCTACCTTCCTGCAGACTTAAGTTCCAACCCTGCTTCATCACACCTGTCTGTAACTAAGTAGCCCATAACACCTTGGCTAGCTGGTTCAGGTGTGTTTGATTAGGGTTGAAGCTGAACTGTGCAGTATGGTAGCTCTCCAGGAGCAAGGTTGGAAACCCCTGTTAAAGATATTTGTTGATACAAAATTTTACTACAAAACTCAAAATGATTTTTGGCCAATCTGGTCAGAAGTTATGAGCAGAAATGTCATATTTTTAAATATTTTTGACCAGTAGGTGGCGATGTTCCAAAACTACTCATGTGCCTTCAGGTCATGCTCATTATAACACATACCATGTTTGGTCAGAATCCACTAAAGCGTTGCGAAGATATAGCCTCATGTCCATTTTTTGCATGATTTTCATCAAATTCGTTAACATACTTTACAAAGACGGTTTGGTATATCAAAAAGCTTTTGATATATTTATGCTAGAATGCTCAGAAGATGATCTGAGCCAGTTTTTATGAAAATCGGACAAACCGTCTAGGACGAATTCGAAAAAGTAGATTTTTCGCAAAATTCAAAACTGTGAAAAATCTTGACACGTAGAAATTAACATTTTGATATGCATTCAACCCGAATCAGAGAAAAAAAGATTTTTGCTTCTAGACCTTACAGTTCAAAGGTTATTAGCTGAAATATGAGATTTCTATGGAGCCCCGCACATGACATGCAAGAAAAAATTAATAAATCGTGCGCACGATTTACTAATCCGTTCCCTGGATGTACTAAAATATGCACGCGATTACTATTTTGTTCCCTCGATTTGCTAAATCGTGCGCACAATTTACTAATTCGTTCTCTCGATTTATAAATCATGTGCACGATTTAGCCTGCATGCCATGTGCGGGGCTCTGTAGATTTCTGCTATATTAGCAGAAATGTGAAATTTGGCCTATTGGTGGCGCTAGAGAGTTTGAGACAGAGACTCCAAATTTGCTATGGTAAATTTTGGGACCGTCCTCTATTCATGTGCCAAATTTCATAACTTTCCCGCAAGCAGTTATATGGGCTGCCATAGACTCCCAGAGCCGAAGAAGAAAACTAACGGATAGAGTTTAACTAAAAACTATTCGTATTTTATGCATCATTTATGTATTTTTATGCCCTTATGTGTATATTGTTGTTAGCTTAGCAACATGCTAACATCAAACTCTGTTGAAATCAATTATTAGTCAAGTCTCAATTAGTTCCAAATCAGTCGTAAATTGTGTTTTTTTTTTTTTCTCCAGGATGCTGACTTAGACTCTTTTCTCTCTTCTCTTCTTCCTGTCTCAGAGGTCTGCCCTGCATTAAGTCCAACTGATCAGGCAGAAATCAGGCTCATTAAATCTCCCAGCTGTCTCTGCGATACACATCAGTGTGTACACGTCTAGATTGGGCGTTTCATTGAAGGTCTCTGCAGTGCTTGTTAGATGAACCACATGCGTACGCGCATGATATCTGGTTTGAGAAATTAGGAAGGGTTTGTCACACAGTTTATTTATATATTTGTTTCCTCTGACATTTCAAATGAGTTTATTGAAGGAGTTTATTTCTTTAATAAACAGCTCCAAGGTTTCAGAGGAAGGATTTGTGTGATTAGTGAGCATTAGCCTCACATATTTAGCATTTCTGCGTGTTTTTAAGAGGCAAATTGTTATTTTTGTGGCCATGGCAAGCTGTAAAGGGCAAAGGGTTGCTTATAAAACTTTCTGCCTGACAAATTTTAGTGTATAATCCCAAAAGAGGATTGAGATGGCTAATTGTGTAATAGCAAAATTAAAAAACACTGAAATATGGCTTCAAATATGATGGTCAAAATTCATTAACATCTAATCTCTTACACAAATGTTTAGGTGCAGAATGAGGTTAGGTGAAGCTTTTTTAGGCATTTCTCCTCCAAAATCTGGAGCATTTTACCAATTCAAATTACTGTAGATAAACTCCAAGGATTAAAAGTTTTAAAAGGCAACTAAAGACATATCCTTTTAAATTATTTTTTAAAATCATTATTTGATTCGTTTTTAATACATTTTAAGGTTCTGTTTTTTCCTATTTCCTTTTTTATTTTGTTAAATTTATTGATAGAATATAATATAGATAGAATATAAAAAGAAGTAAATTATTGTTATTATTATTAGTAGTAGTAGTAATAGTAGTAGTAGTAGTAGTAATGACAGTCTCTCTTGAGTTTGATAGCTTAATAATAATAATAACAATAAGTAGGGAGACAGGAAATCTCACATATAATTGTGTAATTATATATTTAATTTTTAAATCTTTATAATAATAATAATTAGTATTATTGTTATTAATGTTTATTATTATTATTATTATACAATTGATCACACTATTATTATTATTGTTGTTATTATTATTATTATTATTATATTTGAGATATTAGAAGAAGTATTTGTGTAAAATAAAAATGTAATTTAAGTTGTTAGAGACTCAGTTATAGACTAAATATATGTGAATAGGTGAATATTATGTTATAGTTTGAATTATAAGTTATGGGTGAATATAATCTCTATTTTTCTGCCCATAGTGTGAGTGCAGTAGACGGGGCCCGTGACAGGAGGAGCCACGCCGTGACCCAACCCCTCACAGGAGGAGAAACTCTTCGTTGAGCTCCAGGACGGGCAGACCCACGGGAGCCAGCACTCGGCTAACACCAGCAAATAGGATGAAATTATTGTGTAATGACGTGTGGGCTTTGGTGCAGTCTGCATATTACACCACAGGACCAAAGGCCAGATTGAGAGAAACAGAAAGTCTGCAGAGAACCCTGCTCTGTGCTCTTTTGGCAGAACAGCCGTTTTAGAAAAATTGGGGTTTAGGAAATAATGTGCCTTTGAAGTAGGAGGCACATACATATGTATCAGAGTTTAATATATATATACTTCTTTTGACCCTTAAGTCTTTAAAGAGCAAGGTCAAGGACGAGAGCAGCAAGAATTGCATTTATTAATACATTTTTGTTTTTAGTAAAATTCAAAAAAATACAGTGGCTATTTCAGAACCATTTTTTTTTTGCGCTTGACTAGACTTTACTGAATACTAAAAGACACGTGTTTTGTCTTTCTGCCATGCACTGAGAAAGAAAAAAGGAAAGAATGACAGAAAAATCTATCTGTGTGAAATTGCTTTGCCTGCTCTGGGAGGCTGCGTTTTGAAAGGGCCCGTGTGTTGATGATAATTGCAGAGTGTGGGCCTGATTATTCCAGCCACATGCTTTCTGTTAACTGACAGAATAATTACACACTGGGCTTAATGGCTCTCCCGAAGAGAAAGAGTGAGAGAGGACTGAATGGTTGCTCTGGATGCGTGAGGAATTCTGATCGTGTCGGACGAGCGAGTTGCTGAGGAATCGGAAACATCTTGTGAGTGCAATCTCTTATGGGTTGTGTGTACAACCTCCCCAGATAAAGGAGGAAACTTACTGGCTGGATATGAAGTCAGTTACTGGTGAGCATATATAAGATGGAAGATGTTGCTGTGGAGTTTGGAGTCAGGATCCTGGATGTCGTTGAGGATGTAAGAAGTACGAGGAGAAATGACATAGATTTTCTTGTCAGAGGAAGAAATGAGTCATTCCCTGGCTAAAACCAGGGAATGACTTGGAATCAGGGCTTCTTTGTTTTTTTTTTTTTCTGAATTAAAATTAGCTTTGATATTTCTGATGGCATGTAGTCAAAATATCAGGGTGGTATAACCTGTACTTTGCAACAAGTACTTTATAATTTTATTATTATTATTTCGTATTTAATTATAAAATATACATTTTTGCTAAACATTTGTATGCCAAAGTCATGTGGTACAACCAAGTTCCAGAAAAATGCAGGGACAAAAACTGGGAAGTAGAGTGAAATTCTTGAAAACTTTATTTAGTATTTTGGTATAGTCTTTTATTTTTATTTCTTAGAAAAAACAATGAAGCAATGGAAGCCTGTTTCTGCCACTGAATAAAAAATAAAAAAAGGTAATTGTGACTTTTTATCTCAAAATTCTGACTTTTTTCTCAGAATTGTGAGATATAAACGTGCAATTATGACTTTTTTTCTCCGAATTATGAGATATAAACTAGCAATTTAGAGTAATAAAGTCAGAATTGCGAGATATATACAGGTAGTTCTGACATTTTTTTCAGAATTGCATGTTTGTATCTCGCAATTCTGACATTTTTCTCGCAATTGCGAGTTTATATCTCACAATTCTGACTTAACTCGCAATTGTGTGTTCTAAACTCAGAAGTTTAAACTCTGTGTGATTTTCTGAATTTATAACCTGAAATTGCAAGTTTATATCACAATTCTGAGAAAAAAAGGCAAAATTGTCTGTTTATCTCTCGCAATTCTGATTATATTTCTCAGTTTATATCTCACAATTCTGAGAAACAAAGTCAGAATAGTGAGATGTAAACTCAATTCCAAGAAAAAAAAAGTCAGAATTGTGAGATAAAAAGTCACAATTACCTTTTTTTATTCAATGGCAGAAACAGGCTTCCATATGAAGCAGTTTTGTTACTGTATAATAAATTATGGAGCGTTTAATTTTCCTTAAATCAAAATATGGTCTGACCAACAAAATCAAATGGTGCGACTGACTGTGTCATCATGTAGTGTGACCAACTAAGCAAAAAGGTGCAGTCAACAACGTGATATGGTGCGACCAAATATGTCATGTGGTGCAACTAACAAAGTTACATCATGCAACCAACGTGTCATTTGGTTTGACCAACTATGTCAACAAAGTCATATGGTCCAATCAAATATGTCAAGTGGTACAACAAACTTTCTGAAACAGTCAAGGGAAAGAAACAAGGAAAATGGGCAAGTTTAGACAGGACCAGAGCTGTCCGTGGAGCCAAGAGCTTTAAATGGCAGTGCTACAAAACCAAGAGTTCACTTTCAGTTCAGAGAACACGTCGAGGAAAGCCAGTTTGACACACTGTAAAAGAACATAGTGCTGAAAGCAGCTACTAATGGTGAAGCCATTCCTGTAGCAGCTGCATGTTCTTTTCTGTTTAATAGCTGGGAAACCTTAAAACAGCTACATACTGTCAACAAAAAATTAGTTCAGCCTGTCACAACCGTTTACATCTCTTTTTGGCAATTTGAGTGTGACACAATCGCCTAAAACCTGTTTTAAGTTACCTTGCAAACTTTAGTGATACTTCATAAAGACACTACTAAAATGAATCCATCAGAAAGACACTACTAAAATAAATGCTGTTCTCGAATTGTAGGTTCCATCATTATGCTACCTAAAATATCTAAGACATTGAAAGAAAGATTGCAATGTGTCCTTTGTGGATGCTCAAACTTGCTCTTAAACAGCTATTTATTAAATTTTGAGGTACAATCTAATATGCAACTGACTGCAATTGGCCCTTGCGTCCAAATATACCTACTTCCATACTATATAGTAGCCAAAAAAAGAACAACAACAACAACAGTGGATTAAATGAAAAATATGTCCAAATTTGTAGTGACGTTAAAACAGTAGGAGCAAAGTAGTTGTATGACCTACTATTTCTGCTGAGATTTCAAAGTGCACATCTGATGAACACTTAACTTTCCCATGAGGCCACAGAATAGGATTTGTAAATGGGAGTGAAATGATGCAGCTGGTCACATGACAGACCCAGCATGATGTAGTACGTCCACATTTCACTCATACTACACAGATTCAAACTATATAGAACATACTTGTTAAAGGCTGAAAAAGTTGTTCCTCATTAAATGTTTGTACCTACTCAGACAGTTTGCGATTTCGGATACAGTTTACATGTATAGGTCTAAGATGCCTTCTCATAATCTTCTGTTTAACTCCTTAAAGGGATAGGCCACAACAAGATGAAAATTCTGACATAATTTAATCACCCTCATGTCATTTCAGACCTGTATGACTTACTTTCTTCTGTGGAATATAAAAGTCATATAGTGCAACTGACTAGATGTCATATGGTGCGACCAACCATGTCATGTGGTGCGACCAACAAAGCAAAATTTTGCAATCAATGTGGTGAGACCAAATACTGTATGTCAAGTGGTGCAACCAACAAAGCAATGTGAAGTGGCCAACAAAGTCATATGGTGCAATCAACTTTGGCACACATTGTATGGAAAAAAATACAATGGAAGTCAATGGGAACCAAAAATTGTTACCAACATTCTTCAAAATTGACTTCCACTGTATGGACAAAATTTATAGTGCAAGTCAATGAGAAGTCTACTTAAAAAAATCTTCTTTTGTATTCCCCAGAAGAAAATAATAAAATAAGTTTGGAACGACATGAGGGTGAGTAAATGGTGACAAAGTTTATTTGGGTTTTGGGTGTTTTTGGGTGAACTATCCCTTTAAATACCCTACCAGGCACATTTAGATGTACATTATACTCATCACATTATGGGTGCTGCTAGTCATGTGACACAGATAAGCCAATCACTTGTCTCGTAGCACTTTTTTTTTTACTAACCTACACCTATACTTAACCTCCAACAACCCGCCCATGGACCGACCACCTAATGAATATTGTACACAAAGTGTCCAGAGCTAGTAAAATCCAGCAGTCCGGTCTCATTTGATAGCTGCTAAGGAATTTATTTTTGAATGAAAGTACATTCTGACTGGTTTTACACACTATTTTCTTCAATGTTTTTTGTCTAAGCTCTTGCAGAGACTGTTGCACCACTACTTGAATGGACCACTTTGCTACACAGCATACTATAATTGTGGTATGATCGATTTCAGATACACGCTCCTGTACGTCGAGTGCAAAAACTGGTTCTGGTTTGTTATTGTGTATATATCGGTCAGACGGTTTCCTCCTAAGTGGGTTCTTAGCCAGAATAAGCTGCAATATGTACCAGACTTGGCGCTGATAGTCAAAAGTCTGGCTTGCAAGATGGTTCCTACTAGCGACTGCCTCACCAGACATAATATAGCCATAAAACAATTCACATCCTTGCTCTTGACATTTAGCAGTAAGTTCACCTCTGGCTCTCCAGCTCTACCACACACTACAGAGAGGGGAAACAGCAGGCTGCCAAAACATGCAAACGATTTGAGCACAGCTCATCATCCTCGCTATGGGCCCTGGTTAGGGTGCCGGGTACCTGCAGCTCTGTCAGTATTGAGCGACTGGAAGCGCCTCAGGCACAATTCATCAAACACAGTCTGTGAGGTGCTCAGAGAGCAGCGTGAATAAAGCATATTTCCTCTGTCTAACTTCTGACAGAAGAGAATAGCTCTGTTGTAGCATTAGGCTCTGTAATATAATGGCATTTAAACATCAGTTATCCATTTAAGAGGATATTATTCTGAATAATTTTTAGATGGTGGGCTGAAATAATTGTGAAATTATACTAAGGAGCTTGTTTTTATTTTAACATGCTGCAGTGATTTGAATATATAGTTATAAGTGTAAATATAGTATATAATTTAATAGTTTAATTTCAAAACACCCCCCCTCTGGATTGTTTACAAATCGCACCCTGTATATA